AGTACCTTAGATCTGTCCTCTTCCCCTTGGAACTTGAATATCACCCAACCTCTATCATGTGTTCTAACTTTGCATGGAACTCCCCATTTAGCTACAAGTTCTTGTATTGGTTTGAAACCGGGATATCTTCCCGCAAAGTACCCAACAAGGCAATGCCCCCAAATCTCTTCAATTGATGGCATGATCCTTTGATGTAAGTCCACAAAGTCCCCAACTGGTTCAATAAATCTAAGCTTCATGCCTTTTGAGGGTTCTCTATTATCTTTGAAAAGAGATGCAAAAGGTTTAGGCAAAGTGGTTTCGGTTTTGTTCAAAGGGACTGTTTTACCGAGGGCAGCCACATATAAGTCATTTATGTTTCCATCCACCTGGGTTTGAGGTACAATTGTAGGTTCACGGTTAACCAACACAACATCCAAAACAGCAACACTAGCATCCCCATTCAAAGTCGCATCCAAATTACCCATATTTTTGTCTTTTTCCACCATTTCTTTGTTGGGTTCTTTCAAGCCAATGTCCTGTTTAAGAGGTGGTAGAGAATTTACCTCAGGTTCAGGAGATTGGACCGCTATTTGAGGTTGAGGTTGCTTGGAGGACCCTTCGGAATCACTCGCATGAAGGCTCCCCTCAAAATCCGAATCACTCATTTGCTCCATTGCCGAGAGTGCATCCTCCAATTCCTTGTCCTTTGCTTTTGCTTTCAGCCTTGAAGAGTACTTCGTTGGAGGTTGGACCTCCTTCTTCTTGGCCGTGGACTTAGGCATGGTGTTGGTTGCAATGAAATCTAGCTGAAGTCCAAACCATGGAAGGGGTAGCTAAAAATAGCAACCCCTTCAAAAACGGAAGTCTTTGAAGCTTGTTTGAGCTAAGAGTCCGTACCTATGGAGTCGGCTATGAACAGTATGTAGTTGTACGGACGTCGTTGATGATGAAACAAAGTTGAGAAAGTTAATCCCCTCACCAAGGCAAAGCTAGAACCGTGCTCAAAATCAAAATCGACCAAGTAGATTTGTAGATATGTGCGTTGACCTTTTGCGATGAATAGTGAAGTTACGAACTGGTTTGCGTTGATAGAGCTGATATCTTTCGAATTACTAACTCCTAAGGAAGGAAAGAGTAATAAGGAAGATAAAACAGGCCCAGCAACAAGAAGTGGTGGTGGAGGTGGCGGATTTGCGGTGGTAAGCGGAGGATTTGCGTGAGAGAGCCAAGAAGATGACCGTTGGTCACCAAATCGGGAGAGATGAGCTCTCAACGCTCACTAGAATCCTTTCTCGGCACAAGGGCGCTGGTTTCAAAATATCAAGGGATGATTGCCAAATTACTAAAATACACTGTATTTACGCTTAAAGTGCTCTATTTTCGCTGAAAACGCTAAATCATAGAGATAAGGCCAAGTATTTGTGACACTCATATCTTGCTGTGTGTTTATCCGTTTGGAGCGTATTATATCTCGTTGGAAAGATAGATCGGAGCTCTAAATCTATTGTTCCAACTGAATTTACAATTCATTAATTAAAAGTTACAGATTAACCATATATTCACAAATGTTTCTGATTTCACTCCGAACTCGTGTAGAATTTGATTCGATCATATCTTGCTCTATTTTGTGCCGTTAGAAGCGTTTAATATCTCGTTGGAAAGCTCTTACCGAGTTCTACAAATTGTATTCAGGTTCTGGTTACAAAATATCGAAGTATGATTGCCTAATTACTAAAATACACTGTATTTACGCTAAAAGTACTCTATTTTCGCTGAAAACGCAAAATCTTAGAGATAAGGCTAAGTATTTGTGACACTCATATCTTGCTGTGTGTTTATCCGTTTCGAGCGTATTATATCTCGTTGGAAAGATAGATCGGAACTCTATAGCTATTGTTCCAAGTTAATTTACAATGCATTAATTAAAAGTAACATATTAACCATATATTCACAAATGTTTCTGATTTCACTCCGAACTCGTGTAGAATTTGATGCGATGATATCTTGCTTTATTTTGTGCCGTTGAAAGCGTTTAATATCTCGTTTGAAAGATCTTACCGATTTCTAAAACTTGTCGTCCGGCGCTGGTTTCAAAATATCAAGGGATGATTGCCTAATTACTAAAATACACTGTATTTACGCCAAAAGTGCTCTATTTTCGCTGAAACGCTAAATCCTAGAGATAAGGCTAAGTATTTGTGACACTCATATCCTGCTGTGTGTTTATCCGTTTGGAGCGTATTATATCTCGTTGGAAAGATTGATCGGAGCTTTAAAGCTATTGTTCCAGATTCATTTACAATGTATTAATTAAAACTTACAGATTAACAATATATTCACAAATGTTTCTGATTTTACTCCGAACTCGTGTAGAATTTGATGCGTTCATATCTTGCTCTATTTTGTGCCGTTGAAAGCGTTTAACATCACGTTGGAAATATCATACCGAGTTATAAAAGTTGTCTTCAGGCGCTGGTTTCAAAATATCAATGGATGATTGCCTAATTACTAAAATACACTGTATTTACGCTAAAAGTGCTCTATTTTCGCTGAAAACGCTAATTCATAGAGATGAGGCTAAAAATTTGTGACACTCATATCTTGCTATGTGTTTATCCGTTTGGATCGTATTATATCTAGTTGGAAAGTTAGATCGGACGCCCTAAAGCTATTGTTCCAACTTCATTTACAATGCATTAATTAAAAGTTACAGATTAACCATATATTCACAAATGTTTCTGATTTCACTCCGAACTCGTGTAGAATTTGATGCAATCATATCTTGCTCTATTTTGTGCCGTTGAAAGCGTTTAATATCTCGTTGGAAAGATCTTACCGAGTTCTAAAACTTGTCTTCAGTCGCCGGTTTCAAAATATCAAGGGATGATTGCCTAATTACTAAAATAAACTTTATTTACGCTAAAAGTGCTCTATTTTCACTGAAAACGCTAAATCATAGAGATAAGGCTAAGTATTTGTGACACTCATATCTTGTTATGTGTTTATACGTTTAGAGCGTAATATATCTCGTTGGAAAGATAGATCGGGGCTCTAAAACTATTGTTCCAACTTCATTTACAATGCATTAATTAAAATTTATAGATTAACCATATATTCACAAATGTTTCTGATTTCACTCTGAACTCGTGTAGAATTTGATGCGGTCATATCTTGCTCTATTTTGTGCCGTTGAAAGCGTTTTATATCTCGTTGGAAACATCTTTCCGAGTTCTAAAACTTATCTTCAGGCGCTGGTTTCAAAATATCAAGGGATGATTGCCACATTACTAAAATACACTGTATTTACGCTAAAAGTGCTCTATTTTCGCTTAAAACGCTAAATCATAGAGATAAGGCCAAGTATTTGTGACACTCATATCTTGCTGTGTGTTTACCCGTTTGGAGCGTATGATATCTCGTTGGAAAGATAGATCGGAGCTCTAAAGCTATTGTTCCAACTTCATTTACAATGCATTAATTAAAAGTTACAGATTAACGATATATTCACAAATGTTTCTGATTTCACTCTGAACTCGTGTAGAATTTGATGCGATCATATCTTGCTCTATTTTGTGCCTTTCAAAGCGTTTAATATCTCGTTGGAAATATCATACCGAGTTCTAAAACTTGTCTTCAGGCGTTGGTTTCAAAATATCAATGGATCATTGCCTAATTACTAAAATACACTGTATTTACGCTAAAAGTGCTCTATTTTCACTGAAAACGCTAAATCATGGAGATAAGGCTAAGTATTTGTGACACTCATATCTTGCTGTGTGTTTATCCATTTGGAGCGTATTATATCTTGTTGGAAAGATAGATCGGGGCTCGAAAGCTATTGTTCCAACTTCATTTACAATGCATTATTTAAAAGTTACAGATTAACCATATATTCACAAATGTTTTTGATTTCACTCTGAACTCGTGTAGAATTTGATGCGATCATATCTGGCTCTATTTTGTGCCGTTGAAAGCGTTTAATATCTCGTTGGAAAGATCATACCGAGTTCTAAAACTTGTCTTCAGGCGCTGGTTTCAAAATATCAAGGGATGATTGCTAATTACTAAAATACACTTTATTTCCGCAAAAAGTGCTCTATTTTCGCTGAAAACGCTAAATCATAGTGTGACACTCCAAAAAAAAAAATGTAAAAATAAAATAATTTTATTAATAAGATAAAACGTTACAAAGGTAAGATTTTAATAATTAAGTGAATCTGATAAAATTAACAGTTATGACATTTTTAGTCGAATAAAAATGTTTTAATAATAGGAGTAACATCTTTATATGACATAAATCATAGAAGTGACATTTTAGCAAAGGCTATTAAGTTAAGAAATACCATTGAAACGTAATTTAAAACTATGTCCATTAATTGTGCGACTAAAACATACTACGTATGAGGTATAAATCATAGAATATTGTTTGACTATTCAACCTAATATATATGGAACAACTGCACCCGATTAATGTTAATTAATATATTAATGCTCATACACACGTTTATGGAAACTTAACATATACCAACCAATGGAACCATATTACTTATTGTACGCGGAGTATATCATGCTTATAATACCGAAATATTACGCAACTCCGTTGTCCGATGTTTTTAGACTACGCCATATATAGGTGTAGAATTTAACTAGGAAAGCTGTTAAATAAGGAAAGTATAGGCTATATAGTAACTTCCAAGATTCCTAACCTAACATACGTATATATGCTTAGAAGGAAACAAGGAAACCTCATAAATGTAATTAAAAGCCAAATATTCTGACCTTGATAGCGTCAAACTAAAACCCTCCTCCTGGGCTATTTACACTCTACGAACGATATACTCCTCTACACCCAAAACAGAAACAGAAAAAGAAAACAACTCTTGCTATTGCTTCGTGCCAAACGTGAGAAATAGAGAGGGGATATCAGATAGAGAGAAAGGGGGTGAGAATGGGGGGAAACAATCGTCTCCGGAGGTGCAGTAGCAAGGTCGTTAGACTGTTATGACGTCGGAGGAAGAGGAGAAGCCGGGGTTGCTGTCGAACGTTGTCACCTATCATCAACCTACTACCGTCACGAGCAGTTATGCCGGAGGAGAAGCTCTTGTGTCGGAGGGAAAGGTATCCGCTGCAGTGCCGTTGCAAAGGTGCCATCACTGTGTCTCTGCCACTGCCAGAGTCACCGGAGAAGAAGCTTCAGCCTTTGGTTCGCCTGCTGGTATCGTTCCAACGAAGAAGATGACGTATTGGCGGCTGATCTTGAACAACTACGTACGTAATATGTATGCCTCATTTTGTTTTGTTTAAGTTGGGCTGGATTTCTTTTAAACATCTTAATTCGGCCGCCTGAATTAGTAATAATTAACAACCTGTACAACTAAAAGTTTGAGATTTATATTAAAAAATGGATTTTAAATTGGTTAGATGGATACAGAGTATTGATTTCTTAATTGGTTAAACTTATCACTTTTAATTGAATTATGATTGATAACCAAGACCAGTTATTTTATCCAAACAATGAACCAATTACTAATTCCGATTTTATATTTAAACTGGATTAAATTAAATACTCCTTAGATTAATTACTATGTGTACTCATTCGAATACTCCTAATATTTTAATATAATGATTCAACTAATTCCATTGGTACTACACGTTAACTTAAGAATAGTAGGTTGAATTGAATTATCTAGGGATAAACCGAATTGATAATGATTAAGATGAATTAACCTTAATTAGATAAATTATTATACTACGAAGAAAGGAAAAGGGAAAATTGGATAAACTATCGAATAAGTGACTAATAATATCATCTTAATTAAAAAGGTGATTATTTAGAGACTGGAGTAGAAGAAGAGAATTAGGAGCACCCGGACTAGAGGTAAGTTTCTCTGCCAATCCAAAAATCGTTTCCTCGTATTATATATGTATTATGTGATACGTGATTTTAAGTGTGAAGTATGATTTTTATGCATGTGATTCTGAGATGATTCGTGGAACTAAGTGCTTTTGGGGGTAAATATTTTATCTAAATATTTTTAAAGCAGTTTGAGAAGTTGAGAAATATTTTGAAGTATATTAATTCAAGATAAAAGAATGATTTCATAAGAGGTGAGCACCACGGGAGAAATCCGTGGTGTCGGTTTTCCACGTCCGGATAAATGTGGAGGGTGATTAGGTTTGCTACTATTAAGAAGTACAGTTTGAGTTTAAAGTGATATTTGGATCGATGATCCCTTTTAAGAAGAAGTTATGGTAGTAGTAATCCCTAATCATTCAAAATATCTTATTCAGGGGTAGTTGGTAGACTGAGTCCCGACTACTCGTTACGACTTACTACTCGGGGGGCTTGGAATCCCTTTTAGGGGGTGTGCACACTTAAGGTAGTCGTTTCGTTTCCAACAGAGCAGTTGTGGTACCGGCACTTGTTCGGGGTGGCCGTCCGTAACCACGGTCCACCGGGCCCTACCGAAAGGTTGAGCACCGCCCTTCTAAATTACTAGGAAGTTAGAGAAGAAGTGATTTTTGAGGAAATCAAAGAGAAGAGTTATTATGAAGTTTTATAGAGAAGTTGAGGATTTTTGTAAAGAAATAGTCTTGATAAAAATCAAAGTGAAAAGAATTTCGATGGTGTGAGTATTTTTATATATCATTATATAAAAATCTATTTTTGTCAAACATGATTATTTTACGGGGTTGGGTAGTACTTACTTAGCTCTAAAGCTAATTTTTGTTTTCTTTTCCTTGTTTTGTTTCTGCACTTTATTTGTGCAGGTGAGGATGATGTTGTCGAGTGATGATTGCTTGCACGGCCGAGAGCGAGTTAGAAGTCGCCTTAGTTATACTAGTCATGAAATAAACATTTACTTTTCAAACACTTTACTTTTATTAAATTAGTTGTTATGTTTTTAGTTGCCTGTGCATCCGGTTGAGAGATGACCGGATGTGGCGGTAACACCCATTTCCTATTTTAGACTTCCGCTGTATTTATTCAACTCTTTGATGAATAAATAAAAGTTTTATTTCAATTATGTCAACGTTTTGGGTGGGAAATTTGGGGGTGTTACACATAGAGATAAGGCTAAGTATTTGTGACACTCATATTTTAATGTGTGTTTATCCGTTTGGAGCGTAATATATCTCGCTGGAAAGATAGATCGGAGCTCTAAAACTATTGTTCCAACTTCATTTACAATGCATTAATTAAAAGTTACTGATTAACGATATATTCACAAATGTTTCTGATTTCACTCCGAACTCGTGTAGAATTTGATGCGATCATATCTTGCTCTATTTTGTATCGTTCAAAGCATTTAATATCTCGTTGGAAATATCATACCGAGTTCTAAAACTTGTCTTCAGGCGCTGGTTTCAAAATATCAAGGGATGATTGCCTAATTACTAAAATACACTGTATTTACGCTAAAAGTGCTCTATTTTCGCTGAAAACGCTAAATCTTAGAGATAAGGTTAAGTATTTGTGAAACTCATATCTTGCTGTGTGTTTATCCATTTGGAGCGTATTATATCTCGTTGGAAAGATAGATCGGGGCTAGAAAGCTATTGTTCCAACTTCATTTACAATGGATTAATTAAAAGTTACAGATTAACCATATATTCACAAATGTTTCTGATTTCACTCCGAACTCGTGTAGAATTTGAGGCGATCACATCTTGTTCTATTTTGTGCCGTTGAAAGCGTTTAATATCTCGTTGGAAAGTTCTTGCCGAGTTCTAAAACATGTCTTCAGGCGCTGGTTTACATATCAAGGGACGATTGCCTAATTACTAAAATATACTGTATTCACGCTAAAAGTGCTCTATTTTCGCTGAAAACGCTAAATCATAAAGATAAGGCTAAGTATTTATGACACTCATAACTTGCTGTGTGTTTATCCGTTTCGAGAGTATTATATCTCATTGGAAAGATAGATCGGAGCTCTAAAGCTATTGTTCCAACTTCATTTACAATGCATTAATTAAAAGTTACAGATTAACCATATATTCACAAATGTTTCTGATTTCACTCCGAACTCGTGTAAAATTAAATGCGATCATAAATTGCTCTATTTTGTGCTGTTGAAAGCGCTTAATATCTTGTTGAAAGATCTTACCGAGTTCTAAAACTTGTCTTCAGGCTCTGGTTTCAGAATATCAAGGGATGATTTCCTAATTACTAAAATACACTGTATTTACGCTAAAAGTGCTCTATTTTCGCTGAAAACGCTAAATCATAGAGATAAGGCTAAGTATTTGTGACACTCAAATCTTGCTGTGGGTTTATCCGTTTGGAGCGTATTATATCTCTTTGGAAAGATAGATCGGAGCTCTAAAGATATTTTTCCAACTTCATTTACAATGCATTAATTAAAAGTAACGGATTAACCATATATTCACAAATGTTTCTGATTTCACACCGAACTCGTGTAGAATTTGATGCGATCATATCTTTCTCTATTTTGTGCCGTTGAAAGCGTTTAATATCTCGTTGGAAAGCTCTTTACGAGTTCTAAAATTTGCTTCAGGCTCCGGTTTCAAAATATCAAGGGATGATTGCCTAATTACTAAAATACACTGCATTTACGCTAAATCATAGAGATAAGGCTATGTATTTGTGACACTCATATCTAGTTGTGTGTTTGTCCGTTTGGAGCATATTATATCTCGTTGGAAAGATAGATCGGAGCTCTAAAGCTATTGTTCCAACTTAATTTACAATGCATTAATTAAAAGTTACAGATTAACCATATATTGACAAATGTTTCTGATTTCACTCCGAACTGGTGTAGAATTTGATGCGATCATATCTTGCTCTATTTTGTGCCGTTGAAAGCGTTTAATATCTCGTTAGAAAGATATTATCGAGTTCTAAAACATGTCTTCAGGCGCTGGTTTCAAAATATCAGGGGATGATTGCCTAATTTCAAAAATACACAGTACTTACGCTAAAGGTGCTCTATTTTTGCTGAAAACGCTAAATCATAGAGATAAAGCTAAGTATTTGTGACACTCATATCTTGCTGGGTGTTTATCCGTTTCGAGCGTATTATATCTCGTTGGAAATATAGATCAGATCTCTAAAGCTATTGTTCCAACTTAATTTACAATGCATTAATTAAAAGTTACAGATTAACCATATATTCACAAATGTTTCTGATTTCACTCCGAACTCGTGTAGAATTTGATGCGATCATATCTTGCTCTATTTTGTGCCGTTGAAAGCGTTTAATATCTCGTTGGAACGATCTTACCGAGTTCTAAAACTTTCCTTTTGGCGCTGGTTTCAAACTATCAAGGGATGATTGCCTAATTACTAAAATACACTGTATTTACGCTAAAAGTGCTCTGTTTTCGCTGAAAACGCTAAATCATAGAGATAAGGCTAAGTATGTGTGACACTCATATCTTGCTGTGTGTTGATCCATTTGGAGCGTATTATATCTCGTTCGAAAGATAGATCGGAGATCTAAAGCTATTGTTCCAACTTAATTTACAATGCATTAATTAAAAGTTACAGATTAACCATATATTCACAAATGTTTCTGAATTCACTTCGAACTCGTGTAGAATTTGATGCGATCATATCTTGCTCTATTTTGTGCCGTTGAAAGCGTTTAATATCTCGTTGGAACGATCTTACCGAGTTCTAAAACTTGTCTTTTGGCGCTGGTTTCAAAATATAAAGGGATGATTGCCTAATTACTAAAATACACTGTATTTACGCTAAGAGTGCTCTATTTTCGCTGAAAACGCTAAATCATAGAGATAAGGCTAAGTATTTGTGACACTCATATCCTGCTGTGTGTTTATCCGTTTTGGGCGTTTTATATCTCGTTGGAAAGATAGATCGGAGCTGTAAAGCTATTGTTCCAACTTCATTTACAATGAATTAATTAAAAGTTACAGATTAACCATATATTCACAAATGTTTCTGATTTCACTCCGAACTCGTGTAGAATTTGATGCGATCATATCTTGCTCTATTTTGTGCCGCTGAAAGTGTTTAATATCTCGTTGGAAAGCTCTTACCGAGTTCTAGAACTTGTCTTCAGGCGCTGGTTTTAAAATTTAAAGGGATGATTGCCTAATTACTAAAATGCACTGTATTTACGCTAAAAGTGCTCTATTTTCGCTGAAAACGCTAAATCATAGAGATTAGGCTATGTATTTGTGTCACTCATATCGTGCTGTGTGTTTATCCGTTTGGATCGTATTATATCTCGTTGGAAAGATGGATCGGAGCTCTAAAGCTATTGTTCCAACTTCATTTACAATGCATTAATTAAAAGTTACAGATTAACCATATATTCACAAATGTTTCTGATTTCACTCCGAACTCGTGTAGAATTTGAGGCGATCACATCTTGCTCTATTTTGTGCCGTTGAAAGCGTTTAATATCTCGTTGGAAAGTTCTTACCGAGTTCTATTTTTTTGGATAAAATGTAAATATAAATATATATCCAAAGAGTTTATGTACAACTGTACAGTCCCAAAACATCAAAAACAAGGTCATCCCAGGACAGGATACCCTATCACCTTGCAAAACCTCATCTAGCTACATATACATGCTAGCCATCACAAAAAAACCGGTGACGAATCAGCAAAAAAGGCAAAACTTAGAATGTTATCCTATCAAACGGATACATAGCATAGAGAATTTTGTACACCGTGAACTTAATATTCTTCACCAAATCCTCCACCTTAGGTTTGATCTTCTCAAAGAAAATCATGTTCCTTGTACGCCATATCCAATATACGGTATAGCAAAAAGCAAGTCTAACTCCTTTGGCCTTAGCGTGGGCTCCATTGTGCTCTTTCTTTATCCATTTAGCTGTACTCAGCAATGTGCTCATCCTCCTTGAAATTCCAAGCCAGTTCTTCACCAAGGTCCAAACCTGTCCTGTAAAAGTACATTCGAAATATAGGTGTGGCACCGTTTCCGGGCCACCCTTACAAAAAAGACAAGCATCATTGATATCTAAAAACCCCAAGCTGTCATATGTGGCTAATCGACCCCGGAAGGCTAGCCAAGTAATGAACGAGAACTTGGGGGGAATGTAGCTTTTCCAAATAAATGACATCCATGGATGGGCGGTCCCTTTGGTTCGGAGTAATTCATAAACCTTAGAGGAAGAGAGCTTCCCAAGAAGGGAACTCTTCTCTAAGAAATTCACGGCCATCCCTAAAGAAGGGAATTTAGATAAAATCAAATCACGTACATTAGCTAACGCCTTCATAAGCCTCGAGTCCTTCGTGTGTGGAACAAAGGTCCACACACACCTCCCTTGGAGGTAGACTCCGTGGACCCACTTCACCCATAGGGAGTCTTGTTTAGCATGGATGTTCCAAAGTGTACGAGATAGTAAGGCATTATTCCATACCTTAGTATCTCTTACCCCCAAACCTCCCTCACTCTTAGGTAGACACACATCACACCAAGCAACTTTAGAGTGCTTACTTCCCCAAAGAAATAACCTACAAAGAGAAGTTATTTTGTCAATGATTGCCCTCGGCATAGGAAAAATCCCAAGCCAAAAAGCTTGTACTCCTTGCATAACCGATGTGATTAATTCAATTTTCCCTGCATAAGAAAGAGTCTTCGGGTTCCAAGCATTTAGGTAATCTGTAACTGTATCAAAGGAGCGAATTGAGCTACAGATATGTTTAAAGGTGCAAGGGGGATACCCAAATATCTGACAGGAAAAGAGCCAAGTTGAAAACCTACTCTTTCTAAAATATAGGGTACTCTACTCTCCACGTTACCCCCTAAGAAAATGTTTGATTTATCTAAGTTCACCATGAGGCCTGAAACACGTCCAAATTCAGATAGAGTATCTACTAAAATTTTAATAGAAGGATAACACGCCTTAGAGAAAATCATCAAATCATCTGCATATGCAAGGTGTGTAATCTTAAGCTTGGAGCACAAAGGATGATAACGGAAACTAGGAACCGAGGTCCCAATCTCCATTAGCCTCGAA